TTTGATATTCACTTTCACAAAAAAGAGTTAATAACAGTGATTAGAATAATTCAAAATTACTTTTCACACAATAGAAGATATGTGGCTTTTTTCGATGATTCCGCTTCAAGAAATAGTAACCTACAGATGTTAGTTTAATTGTTTCGTTTTCATTATAATTGTTTCAGTCTCCGCCAAAATATCCAAATGCTTATGAGCATTAAAGAACATTGCACGTTTCTGTGCATTTATTCTACGTGTAGCTAATAACAAAATACTTAAATGTAACAATGAAAATGTAATGTAGACTAGAACCATGAATTAGTAAGAAAAATACATGCATTTTGAGAAAATAAAAAAATGCGGTTGTAAAAACACTAGACTACTATGGTCTCTATCCTATTCCCTTCAGTGAAACTGTGGTAAGTCTAAAGGCTTATAACGCTAAAAACTGTGTTTCGATACATATGATGGGCACAGCACGCATAGCTTATTGTGTAGCTTTGTGCTTAACTGCAAACAAATAAACAAAACTCTATCATGTGGGACTGTACTTACAGAACGCAATTTTAACTTCTTGAATGAGTTAGTAAGTTTTAGATGAGGGGTATTAGGTAGAGAATAAATTTCAATAGCAACTTGAAGGCTAAAATGTAAGCGAATGAACCGTCGAGGTCAACGGTCTGTCAGTTCAGAGATAGGAGGAATTAAAGACCCAGTGTCAGTAACTTTTATTCCATGATAGCTCTATGGGCGAACAAGCACGTATTAGAGATAGTCAAATGAACAATAGTAAACAAATTCAAAGTCAAATGAACAATAGTCAACAAATTCAAAGTCAAATGAACAATAGTCAACAAATTCAAAGTCAAATGAACAATAGTAAACAAATTCAAAGGCAAATGAACAATAGTAAACAAACTCAAAGTCAAATAAACAATAATAAACAGACTCAAAGTCAAATTAATAATAGTAAACAGACTCAAAATCAAATGAATAATAGTAAACAGACTCAAAGTCAAATGAACAATAGTATACAGACTCAAAGTCAAATGAATAATAGTAAACAGACTCAAAGTCAAATGAACAATTGTATACAGACTCAAAGTCAAATGAATAATAGTATACAGACTCAAAGTCAAATAAACAATAATAAACAGACTCAGAGTCAAATGAATAATATCAAACAGACTCAAAGTCAAATGTCTGCTTGTTAAGGAAGAGTATGTACAGAACCAAGGTGATGACGTATAAAAAGTGGGAATTCAAGAGTTTTATTCCAGCATCTGAAGGGTTTACCATCAAGTGAACACCATTAGCTTATTGCATTAAGGACGATACTGACAAAATTCTGTCTGAAGATCCGTGGTAGATAGTGGAAGTACATTTGTATAAAAAAAAGGATTTAATTGTTTTTGTTGGAATAAAAATGAAGACGAAAAGAGAAACAGACAGAAAGTCATCATCAATTCTCAAATAGAAAGTGGGAGAACCGATCAGATGATTGAAAAATAACAAGTACCCAGGCGTTGTTAACGGTATTGCTAAAGTGATTAACATGGTGGAGAAACAAATGGTTGATATCATATGGAAGCTATATGATAAAATTTGGATCTCCAAACGATGACCAAAGAATAACAAAGAGCCATTTTCCCTCTTATTTCTAAGAAAGAAATATAACAATGTATAGTAACTATAGAACAATATCGTCTATATCTTATTTTAATAAGATTCTACCAGCAATCATTCTGAAAAAAAAATGAAAAAATAAACGTGAACAAGAGATTCCAATAGAGTCGGCTGGTTTTTAAAGGTGGCAGGTAACTCCAAACCATAATTTTAACCTCATGGAGAAGATTCGAAAATATGAGTTTTATTGACTACAGTAAGACTTTTAACTCAATAGACAACCAATGCCTATGGAACATTTTGGAGGGCATGGAATTTTCAAGTCACATTCACGATATTCTTACAAATACTTACAGGGTCAAGCATGTGAACGATTAACTGTAGGAATTAGTGGACAAGGTCAAACAAGTAAACCATCAACTGCAGGAGTTGTTGGACAGGGTCAAGCAAGTAAGTGAACAGCATAAACTCTTTCTGAATACTATTAAAAACCGAAAGTTATCATGGGTTGAATGCAGCAGCGGATTAAATTCACAGTTCAAGGAGAGAAACTGGATGTGGGTGAGTGTATCAACGGATTAAAGTCACAGTTGAAGGAGAGAAAGTGTGTGTGGGCGGATTAAAGTCACAGTTCAAGGAGAAGAACTGGATGTGGGTGAGTGTATCAGCGGATTAAAGTCAGAGTTCAAGGAGAGAAACTGGATGTGGGTGAGTGTATCAGCGGATTCAAGTCACAGTTGAAGAAAAGGAACAGGATGTGAGTGAAGCTTGTCAGCGGATTAAAGTCACAGTTGAGGGAGCGGAACTAGACAAAAAATAGTGAAGCAAGATCAGGAGACGGACCAGAATAAGTAAGTCCGGTTTCTGGAGAATGTTTATTAGTTAGAGGAGTGTAAATATCGAGGGAACACTCCAGTTCGGGTTCTTGCAAGCTTATAATATCATATGGGTCTGAACTGTGGACTTAAGAAGCAAAAGATATCAGGTGATTTGGGGGCTTCGAGATGTGATGTAAACTTTCCGGAGGGGGGGGGAAGAAAGACGTACAAATAGTTCAGTCTGGTATGTACACTAGATTGTCAGATATTAAGATAAGGAATTTAAGGTACTTTGGTCACATCTCAATGGCTTTGACTTTAACTTGATGCCATGCTTGAAACGAACGAGATTGAGACAACATTAAGCAGTGGATAGAGTTAATATTGATTGAGGCGAGGAAAGCTAAAAGTATGAAAGACTCATGGAGAAGTGTTCTCCATGAAGTCTATAATAAAGCCTTCTTCGGTTTTACTTGAAATGCTTTTTTTGCCCATTCGATTTTGATAGCCAAGGTTTATTTAAACATTAATTTTAATTGAAGAAAAGACTCCTTAAACATTCTGTTGTAATTGATAAAGCTTGTTTAAATTATCATCGTTATTTGACAAAGATTGTTTGATCATTCGGTTTTGAATGATAAATCTTCTCAAAACGTTCAGTTTTCATTGATAAAGCTTCTCTAAACATCCAGTAGTCTTTATACGGTGTTTAGGTGTGCCACACACACATATATATATATATATGTGTGTGTGTATGTATGTATGTATGCGTGTTAGTGTGTGTGTTCTAAATTTCCGCCTGCGATGCTAATAGGTGATAGACCACCATCCATCCCCAGCACCCGTGATTTTTAAAACTGTTATACAAGGTAAGAGTACATTAAGTATTCTAACTTTCCTACTACATCTATTTAATACTTATAACTTGGTGTAACATAGTTTACACCCGTATTTTGTAACCTCGCTACTATGACTGATCGAATCCACTATCAATACGTTTATCAGTTCGTACTGACATATATACAGAATGCTTATTTATTTATTTCCTTTTTTTTTTGGAATGCACAGTAAGAATTGGTACATTCTAAAACATGTTTACTAGACTCAATTCTAATCATATTTCATGATTCATATTACAGTTATGCATTTTTAGCAAACACAATTTATTAATGAATATTAATAACATATAGTCTGTTAAAAAGCACATAACATCAAATATTTCTGTTGTAAAAATGCATGTCATCCTTTTATGTTATAACAATATATTTTCTTCTGTTAACACTTCTTCTTGAATTTTTTTAGCCATTATAGATTTATAGGAATTGCATTCAATAAGCTATTGTAAATATTTAACTTACTTACTTCATGTTAACATTATTATTTGCCCCTCGGTGTTTCAGCGGCAAGTTTGAAGGCTTGTAACGCTAAAAATCTAGTTCTTATACCCACAGTGGGTAGAGCTCAAATAGCCCATTGTGACGCTTTGTGCTTATCAACAAACAAGCAAAAATCATTAATATTATTGGAAATATTGATTTAAAAATGCTTTTTAAAGTTATACGTACGCCAGGAAAGCAGCAGTTAAATAACTTGAGATTAATTACATCCCCATAGCGAGAAAACTTTATGGAAAATATAAGCGTTTAAGTAACACAAAAATATATTATACGGATAACATCTCTACTCGTTTGCACATTCTCAAACATATAAGTTGTAACGTTAACATCTTGACACAAAATTTACTTATACAGTCTCTATCTCGTTAATACACCATATTGCGCTTCTCAAAACATATCTGACACCATCTTTTTATTATATGATGTTCATTATATCACGGGAAAACTAATAGTTACTTTATACTTCGTCTTACTGGAAATTTCAAAACTATTCAGTACAGCTGAACTATTTCCTCCAGTTAAAAACCAAAAATATTTTTACTGGAAATTTAAAAACTATCCAGTACAGCTGAACTATTTCCTCCAGTTAAAAACCAAAAATATTTTTACTGGAAATTTAAAAACTATTCAGTACAGCTGAACTATTTCTTCCAGTTAAAAACCAAAAATATTTACTGGAAATTTCAAAACTATTCAGTACAGCTGAACTATTTCCTCCAGTTAAAAACCACAAATATTTTTAATGGAAATTTCAAAACTATTCAGTACAGCTGAACTATTTCCTCCAGTTAAAAACCAACAATATTTTTACTGGAAACTTAAAAAATTATTCAGTACAGCAGAACTATTTCCTCCAGTTAAAAATCAAAAATATTTTTACTGGAAACTTAAAAATTATTCAGTACAGCGGAACTATTTCCTCCAGTTAAAAATAAAAATATTTTGACTGGAAACTTAAAAACTATTCAGTACAGCTGAACTATTTCCTCCAGTTAAAAACCAAAAATATTTTTTCCGTAAATTTTTCAATACTTTAGTGAAAGTACGGTCAAAGAAAAGCTAACTAAAATTAGAACGCATGCTAAGCTTAATTTAAACTAACCGAAAATTAGCCGTAGCTTTAGGTTTAGTGTATTTAGAGAAATAATTTATTCCTCTGGAATTACGTAGAACCAACCTGTGGAATGCTGCAGATGACACTTATCACCCATGCGAATGTTAACATGATCTTACTTCGTCTTTGGGCGTCGTTTACTTTCAAAGGGTGTAAGATAGCAAAATATCTGTCTAGGCTAATACAGACCAAAACCATTGAAGAGAGGTAAGGACCGAAAGCCCGAAGAAATTGCATGATTTTACATGCGGCGTCTCCAGCTACCCACTTCATTGTGATCCTCCAGCCAATCTCCAGTGGAATCATGATAAAAGTCACAATGAGATCGGCAACAGTCAAATGAAGGATCATTAACTTGATCCTGGACTTTCTCTGGCGAGTACGAAGCAGAGTGACGAAAACCGAAACGTTCCCCACCGCAGCCACCACCAGCAATAAACTATAAGCTACGATTTCGCCGGCGATTTCTTCATTGAATAGCAAGTGTTCTGGCAAACCAACAGTTTCGTTCGTTTTGTTCAACGTTTCGTTCTGGATAAATTCTGCTGTGAAATTCATCTCTTCCATTTTCACCAATACAGATGTGTTGACTAGCTCTTTCAAGATTCGTGAATATTGAAAATACTTGAGTGACAACAGGTGTGACCGGTCAGTTAGGCAAGAGCGTTGTAATAGAAAGTTATCATCAGATCCAAATCTGGTTGACACAGAATACAGCGACTTTTCTCCAACTGTATTCCTTTCCAATATTTATTTTTGCTCTCTTTTTTTTTCGGTTTTCTTATCTTCCTTTATTTTTATTTTTACTGAGATCATATTAAAACTTTGTATCATAAATAAAAGTTTCTTTAACATTTTCATGGAACATCTGAGCCCACCAAAAAGCTGTCATTTTCTCAGTCAAACTCAGGTGCGCACTGAGAGCGACGTATGTTAACCTGTACCTTCTGTTCTCCAATCGCTATAAGTGGGAGAAGTGTCCTACTGAATGCGGTAGCAGGTCTACGCTTAGAACCGACTCTCATCGATAGGGGGCGTATCTATCCACGTCATTTTGCCGCGAATTAACATTAAAAGTTTTCACGAATAGCTGAAGGAAAACAGTATCCAAAGAGCACCTTATACACACACACACACATGTATATATATATATGTGTGTGTGTGTGTGTGTGTGTGTGTGTTTGTTTGTGAAAAATGCATAGAAATGTGTAAATTTTTGCTAAATATGTTGTAGAAACTTTTCATTGGAATAGGAATTGTTATGCCACACAATAATCCACTAAATTACATAAAAAATATTCAATCTAAATGGAAAAATTTAGCAAAAATCTTACTTCGCATTTCTCGTGTTTTTGTCATTGCAAAATGCAATTTTGGTAAAAATTAGACGAAATGCATTCATCACATATCATGGCATAAATTTATTTTTTTAATATGTTCTCGTCTCATTTATTTATGTTTTCACAGGAATATGCTACTGTCATTTCGTCGGTTCGTGCATTTACTATGATTAGCTACTTGCGGTTAGATTTTTAACAAAGGACGGTTTTGATTGGGTACTTGCGGTTAAAGTTTTAACAAAGGACAGTTTGATTGGTTACTTGTGTTTAAATTTGTAATGAATTGTGGTTTTGATTTGTAGTTTAAAGTGTGTTACTTGCCCAAAACTGCGGTTTCGTATGACATAGATAATATAAAATACTAGGGTTTTTCTCTTCTTTTTGAACGATAATCTCATAAACAATAACCAAAAAGAAGAAGAAAAGTAAATTTTCGCTAAATAAATAATAAAACTTAGTTAACCATTAAAATAATTTTTCTCTCTCATTAAGTACGGTTCGTGCTGAAACCAAATAGCGGCCATAAAAATAGCCCACTTAAAACCACCATTAAAATGTCTGAATATTAACAGTATTGGCTGAGCAAAACTAAAGCTTACTGTAATCATAAAGACACCTAAATCGCTATATACGTGATTATGTAGTGAATCAAAATTTCACTGTTTCAACGAATTTTCATCTAAGTAAGTACGTGACTTTTCGAGACAAGCGTACAAGAACTCTTCCGTCTGGGGTCCCAATGATTCCTTTCTTGTACCGAAAAGGATACTAGTATATATATATATTTATATAAAACTGACGATGCGCTACTTTGGTCATATAATTAGGTTTGAGGATAGATAGGTAAAGATACTAATGAGTAATAAACTCGAATCAGGTATACGCGAGCCCCAAGTTTGGTATTGCTGGCGCATAAAAATATAGCTAATAAAAAGGAAATAAACATGTATGACAATAAAATTTTTAAAATTTTACAAAAACAAGTAGGGGTCGATATTTACGTAACCTAGGTAGCTATAGTAATATGAAAAGTTTTAATGCTTCAAAAAGTATTGAAATAAAAAATCAAAAGTATAAAATCTGGGTTACTTAAAATTTGAAACATTTTATCCCCACTTTGGCTCAGACTGACACAATTACAGTGATTTACCAGAGTAGAGACAAAAAAAAATTAAATTTTAAGTAACTCAGTTTTTGTTGTTTTCTTGTTTCAATACTTTTGTATCATTAAAACTTTATATTTTACTATAGATAGCTACGTTACGTATATATCGATCCCTACTTGTCTTTATAAAGTTTAAAAAATTTATTACATCTGACAGAAATCAAAATAAAATGTTTAAATAGTCAAATGTAACACATGACATTTGATTTATCTTCTCTAAATACAATAACTTTTATCGCCATCGTAAAATTAAAAATGTCACAAAATATTTGATAATATAGTACAGTTTTAAGCTTATCAAAAGAAGTGATAACACCTTAATTCAACTCATACGAAAGGTAAAAAAATAGTTCGAAGGTGTTTGATGATTTCAGTATGACTTTTGAGGGACGCATTCCTTTATTTCATTCTCTTTTTTAACATCATGCTATATTCGCAACTATTTCAAAGTGAAATATATTACAAGTAAAATGTGCGCACAAAATTGAGATCAAAGTGTAACTCACTTACTCTAAACAATGTAGCTTAATACTTTACTTGTTTTCAACAATGTAGTGAATATTTATATAGGCTATTTATAAACACAGTGACAGCGTCGGGTTTGAATAACCACGTGCAAATTAAACACTGTCTATTCATTAGAAGAACAAGTCCCATTTTTTCACCATATTTCAATACAAGATGTTGCGTAAAGTAGGATGCACATCTTTTTCACAAAAACTTCCCACAGCTGGACTCGAATGTGTATCTCTATACGTGATGTTGGCTTACTACCTTACGAATGCTGGTTACAAAATGGTTAAACATGTGTAATTCCAAGCCAGAGGTTATCAAAAATTAAAAAAAAAAGAGAAAGTCACAATTTTAATTATATTTATATACATATTATAAGTATAATACAAAATACGGTATTAATATAAAAACATTTACTAAAATGTTAACATAATCAAAACACTTTTGATATTCTTTATATTACAATAACTAACACGATTTTGTTTTAAATGTATTTGCATTGAATAAATTCCATAACAAAAACAAAGACGACCTGATAGGAGGTAACGATAACGAACAGAACACATACCAAACACGACCTGATAGGAGATACCGATATCGAGCAGAACTCATACCAAAAACGATTTGATAAGAGGTGACGAGCAGAACACGTACCAAAAACGACCTGATAAAAGGTGACGATTATGAACAGAACACATACCAAAAAGGATCTGATAGGAGGTTATGACAACGAAGAGAACATATATTTCTTGTAAAAACTACGCAGATAAATGAAATGTTATATCGTGTTATATGTGTGCACTCTGAAAGAGTCTTAAATAGCACTCTTGAGCCTTTTCACTGTATTCATAATGAGGACATTATGACACAAGTTTTCAACTCTTTTGACTGTACAAAAGATAAAAGATATTAGGTAGTAATAAATGTTTATTTTTCTTTATGTTTTAATGCCAAGTAGGTAATATGTGTTTTAAAATACAAAAAGAATATTTATTAATTAACATTTATTCACCACTTCAAACTTTTTAAACACTGCCTCTATATCGTTAGTAACAGTAGGCCTATTTGTAGTCTAATTTAAGCATTAGGCCTAACACATAAACGTAACGTAAGGCTTAGCTGAAACACTACTTGGTAAATTTTATTTTGCTTTTGGCTACAACTCAATGTTATAAAATTTCTCAATGAAACTATTTTGCAGTTATATCACCGAAGTTATCAAAAAATAAAGAATAAAAAACTTTCTAACAAATCAACATGAATATTGAGCATTCAGCCTAAACACCATAGTTGGCCTAAGAACAATCAGGCGATGGTTGTATTGCTAAGCGACAATGTATATTGTTGAACATTACCAAAACAAAAATAATGAAAGCGTTCTCGGCAGAGAGACAAAGGGAATAAGCTTTTCATAGTTAGAGATTTCTGGCAGTATTGTAAACAAAACGGCGAAGACTGTGAATGTATCACAAATATTTCTGTAATGATATAATGGGATGTGATGTTCTTGATTTAAAAAAAAATATTAATTCGATTGAAAACTAAGTGGTTCAAGATTTTGCTACGATCTAGCATAATGGAAATAAAAAAGACTAAAAAAAATTAATACAAAACACATAATTTTTTACGATTTTTTATAGAATAAAATACTTTGAGTAAAGGCTTTGGATAAAATGCCTTTCACAGAAAAACTCATTCAATATAATAAAATTAAAAATTGTTTTCAAAATTCAATTTAGAACCTAAAGTTAGATTAAAATGTTTTCTTTTAAATAGTTTTAAAAGTTGTTTTAAAAGCTTTTCAGCGCTACACAGAAAAAATGAAATTCGATAATAAATCTCCTAAAATAACCAACTGAAAACTTGTATTTAAAGAGAGCTTAACCTTTGTTACAAACAACCATAAACGACACTACAACCTAAACAAGTTATTTAGAAAGTCTCATAAGACTCGCAGTTAGAGAGATATGCTGAGAACGTGTTTTCACGTCATAACATAGCTTTCAAAATATTAATTGTGACTTAATTTGCTGTTATCATTACGTGAAACTTGATTCTTTAAATCTTCAGTAAGAGAAGGTTTATTTGTTTTAGAATTTTCACGCAAAGCTACTCAAACGGCTATCTGCCCAAAACATCACTCATTTAAAAAAATGATAGACAGAGAAGGCAGCTAATCAAAAGCTCATAGCTAATCAGAAGTGTGATAGCTGAAAATCTTTGCTAGTCTATTGTGACTCGAAACGTTTTGGCTTGGTTTGTTTTGAATTTCGCGCAAAACTACACGCAACTGGAGGCAGCTAGTCTTGGGCCACTCTT